CACCAGTGCAAAACTGAACAGCTTTCTCCAGGGAACAACACGGAATTAAACTAATTTAACAAGACATTTGAGATAAAAACATTTAATAATGCAATATATTTGACATCCAAAAAGTCTCACAAATGAATATTTTACATTGTCAAGTTAAGTGTGAGTGAGAGTGCCAGTACAGATCTATGTGTCTTGGCCACAAATATGATTTTCAAAATGTAATGTTTACATTGGGTGAATGACTTTTCTCTGCAGTCCATAGGACTGCAAAAGTAATATATTTCTGCACTTCAACTTTAAAATCCCAGATAGCTCTTAAAGGTTAGGATATGCATAAAGAATCAGTTTACATTAAAAATCTCTGTAGATTTTCAGCAATAATACAGCAATAAAAATCTGTTCTACAGTTGATCAGTCCTGGGTACACAGACAGTTCAGTCTATCCTGTCTTGCAATCTGGTAAGAATACAAAAAGAAAATCCAGAGGCCAGCTAATGAACCTGACAGGCACAGAACACCGAACCAAAGACAGCAGCAACTTCTACAGTTTTTTTTCTTTAACAGGACCAACAACTTAAACTAACCACTTTCTCTTATTGGCAAGAAAACTTGCCAAAATCTTCCAGAAGAACCCCATTCCAGTTTAAGTGGCATCTCCATGGCTGAGCATCAAACCAAACAGTTCACAGGCTGATTGCAACACAAGTAAGAGCTGCACACTGGCAGTGTTGGAAATACCCCCCTCTGGAAAGGTTTAAATGCTTTCTTCAGGGTGCTGCAGGTGTCTGCCATGGATCGTGTTCCTCCCTGAAGCTGGATTAGTGAATCAGGTTGGAAGAAAGGGGAGGCTGGAAGATCTCTGCTGGATACACACTCTGCAGCAAAGCAGCACTGACTGACATGGAGTTCAGCTCCAATTTACACAGGAAGAGCCACACACAGCGGGAGAGACCAAACTACATGATTTCCCTCCCATTACTGTGAAATCTGTGATGCAGTGGGAAATTCAACACAAACTGCTCAAGTCCCACCTGCTGCTGTAAATGGTTTGTGTGCTGTTCCACCTCAGAGGCAATGCAGCAGTGCTGCTCTCAGGAACTAACTCCACAGTCATGCCAACAAGTCACACAACACTTCTAATCAACCACTGCTGACTTCAACCAAGCCACTAAATTAGTTCTGAAGGCTGCACCAACACTGCTGCTACAAACAGCTGCAAATATTTCAGGTTTTAAAACTGAAATTTCTACAAATTCTGGAGAGATATCCTAACTATTGATCAATAGCAACTGTTACCCATATGCTGCTCCTTCTGCTTGGATGGATGCAGATCCATGTCCTCGTCCTCCTCGTAGCTCCTCTTGTGGCGACTGGGGGTGTAGGAAGTTGAAGGGCTGACCCGGGCTTGGCTGGCACTGATGTAGGCCTGAAACTGGGGGTTAAGGACAACCACAGGCTGGGCAGGGGCAACCCAGGCACAGGAAGGGTTGTTTGGGGTTTTTTAACAAAATTCTGGTGTTTTATTTTCAGCAAGACATGAGAATAATGAATCAAACTGTTACCTCTTCAGACACATAAATAACCTGCTGCAGGAGACCAGAGAGTCAGTGGCTTTTTATGACAATACAAACTAAAAATCACCAGGTGCTATTGCACCATCAGTCTCTAAAGGAGGGAGGGTTTTCTTCCCTGAGAACACGCTTGTGGTCAGGAACAAATTAAAAAAGCAAGAATCTTCTCTCCCACATCTCCTTCATTTGCATCCCCTCTGTGCACACAACACACCACCAGTTTTCCCTTTCTTCTCTTTCTACACCTACCACCTCACCTGATCCACCCAGGAAAAAAACCAAGCCACTTTAAATAAACTTATCTCCTTAAATCTAATACAATCAGTGCTCACCAACCACTAAGAGAGTCAGAAAGGATATTTCTTTCACCCATGCAGATTCCCCAGGCACTGGAACGCAGTAGAGAGTCTGTCTCTCCGAGGTGACTGTTTGGGAGGAGTTCAAATCGATTTCCTGCTGAGGCTGCAATGCCAAGGGAAATTCTGTTCAAAAAATCTGATTGCAGGTTCTTTAAACCAATCCCACAGATTCAGTTACTCAGCCAGAAGTTACAGCTAACATAGTCATGGAACAGGGAATCCAAACAGTCTCTATCTCTAATGCTTTGATTCCAAGTGCACTGCACTGCCAGGAGTGGTTGTTTTCCACAGCAGGCAGTCTCAGTCACGGGCACTCCCCCCTCAAACCAAGCAAAACAAATTTTAAATACAACAGGGACAGCTGGAAACCTCCTGGAATGAGAATGCCAGGGAGCAGTTATGAATACTTTGCTTTCCAAGCCTGAGATTAATTCTGTATTCAGCAGTATCCTCAGGAATCCACTGGTAAGCACCAAAGAAGTTCTATCACACTTCTAAACAGTAATTTTCCAGCTAATATTTCAATTTGTGTAACTTGTATAACTTACCCCACATTCTGCCACATCTCTGTATTTGCCAAAATGCAAAACCTGCCAAGAAGGAAAAGGTAATGCAGTCATTCCTGTTCTGACAGCATCCTGAACAGGAATCACCCCCAAATCCCTGCAGTCCAAAAACCCCCACAGACACACTGCCAAAGCTTTATTTTAATATTTTCCTTTCCTCAACAGAAACGGAACAAGTGATGTATTAGTGATGCCCTTTGAGCCAAACACACCTATTACTAAATAGTGCCCAGACACCACAGGTTTAACTTGGGAAGTACAGAAATATAAGAACTAGAATGGATAAAATGAGAAGCATTCATTAAAGTATTAAATCAGGGTTTCACTTACACGAGCATTTGTGTTTGGGTCAACTGTTTCATACACTGCCATGTAAAACTCCGGATCAAACATATCTTGAACCATGCAGCGGAATTTCACCAAACTGTTGGGTTTCAGGTAATGAACAGGAACATCATTCAGCGATGGCACCTGGGAACAAAAGGAGTTTATTCCATACAACTGGGATATGTTAACCAATGCACTGAACTCAGCCAAAACCAGGTGGCATAACTTGAAATGAAACTTGCAATACGAATAGGGTTTTCTAAATCTGAAGATCAACTTGTTGAAAAAACTCAGATTCAGCATTAAAATACAACAAAAACCAGAAATGGCATTTTAACAAACATATATCGCCTCAAGTTTCTCTTCAGCAAGAAAATGTGCTTTCAACTCTTTCTACTGTTGTCGGTTTGACTTGATTTTTCCCATTTACATTTTGAATAAAACTATAATTGAAATATTAAATATGGGATCCTCTTATGGACGGATGAAGAAAAAAAGAAATCAAATAATTTTCATCTGTTTCCTCAGCCATAAGTGGAACAGATTTGATATGAAACTTTCCAGTCCCCTCAGCAATGTTCCACCTCACCTTTTTTGCTACAGCCTTTTAAAAAAGTATCAGCTTTTGAACTCACCTGTGCACGTTTCATTTTTAAACCTTAAGCCCAGTTTCCCTGCTGAACTGCACAAATCAGCCCGGCAAAGCACGGTTTTATCAGAAAAAGCATTTTTTTTTTCCTAAAACCTGAAAGCTCAGCTACTTCTTCAACCCACACAAGGTTTGCAGCATCGAGATCAAGACCCGAGGGGAGAAGGGGTTTACAACCTGCAGCTGAGCAGCTCGTGGAGCTCAGAGTGCAGGGACAGGCACTCCCCAAAACGACAATATTTGTCAGCTCCTGCCATCTGCTGACTGCGCTGCAGAGCGGCGGCACCGGGAGGGATCGCCCGGGGCAGGGGCTGTGCTGAAGGAGAGGGGATGAGGGGCTGAAACCCCAGCCGGGGTTCCCCAGCCTGGCTCTGCACACAGGTTAGAGATGGAAACAACACACCCTGAAGTCTGGGCCTGAAGTTCGACCCCGTTCTTATCACGAGAAGGGAGAACTGCTCCAACGCGAGTCACTGCAATAAAATGTAAACAACGACGGAACTTGGGGAAAGTGGAAGTCTAAAAGAATCAAACGCTCTTACCCAGTTAGTAGCGTTATTTTCTTTTAATTTTTCCTTGAAGTACTCGGTTACCTTCTTTTCCCAGTCAGAGTTTGGAACATTTTGGGCTACAAAAAAAACCACATTTACACGTGCATTAGCACCGATAACAGACCTCTATCATTCTCCCAGAGCATTCTCCCAACACAGCAAACAAAGCAAACTTTTACTTCTATTTCTGGGGAAACAGATGCAATTCAGACCACGGATGAGTGCATTTCAGTGCAATTTATGCCTCTTGTAACTCACGGCTTGCCATTTTACAGGCTCCCAGGCCAACCAAGATGCCCACAGCCGTTCTTGGGAGCGAGGGAAAGCTCCACAGCCCCTCAGGGAGAAAGGGCAGGAGCTGAGGTACCGCTTCCCGCGCGGAAGGTTTTTATTTCGATATCCTTTCAGTTCAGACCGAGCCTGGCACAGAAACAGCCGCGATGATGGCACGGGGCAACATTACAGCGGTGATCGGCAGCGCGTGTGGACAGCACGCGTTGTCCCCCCAACCCAAAGACACACGAGACGCGTGAGATACAGGAGAGGCAGATGAGAGATGTATATAAGGTACGTGAGATATGTATGGGGTACAGAGGACACACAGGCAGCCTCGCCGCTCTCCCGCCACCACCCCGCGAGGGAAAGCCCCGTCCGGTTCCGGGCGCCCTCAGGGCGCTCCCGCCCGGGCCGAGGGGACGCCGCTCCCGCCTCACCGAAGAAGCCCTGCACGATGCTGAGGGGGTTGTTGAGCCAGTCGCCCACGCACGGCATGGCGGGGTCGCGCCTCGCCGCGGGGCTGCCGGCTCCTCGCGGCCACCGCCTGCCTGCTGCCTGCCTGCCGGCTCCCTGCGGCCACCGCCTGCCGCTCGCCAGCCCTGCCCGGGCACTGCCGCTTCCTCCTGCTCCTCCTCCCCTTCCTGCGGGAATGGCGGCGCCACCGCCTCCCGCCCCTCACGGCTGCGCGCCCGCCGCCATCTTGGGTGCGGGCGGAAGGGGCCGGGGCGGGACGTGGCCGGGGCGCGGCCATGGCGGCGGCGAAGGCCGGGGGAGGCACGGCCGGCACCGGCACCGGCACCAACCTGCTCTTCTCCTCCTCCGCCACCGACTTCAGCTTCAGCGTGCCCTTCATCCCCGTTAGCCAGGCGCCCGCCGCGCCCGGGCCCGCGCTGCTGCCCGCCGGTACGGACGGAGGGAGGGGCGGTGAGGGGTCCCGCCGGTGCCGCAGCCCCCAGGGTGGGCTGAGGGGAGCCCCGGGAGCCGGGCGAGGCTGCCGGGGGGGGCTGAGGGGTCGGGGGAGCCCCGGGAGCCGGGCCGGGCTGCCGGGGGGGCTGAGGGCACGGACGGCTCCGCTCGGCCCGGCCCGGGACTCTCGTACCCGCTGTCAGCTGTGGTGCCTCAGCTCAGACAGGCTGCTTGGGGTCACCTATTCCGCTTTCTTACGCTTAATTCCTTGTGCTTCCTTATATTTAGCGGTTGTGTGTTTGGTTTTCAGTGTCATGGCTGAGGAGGGGGTGTTTGTCGCGTTTTCAGCTCATCGATGTTTCAGACTATTCGTTTCAGCCATTTAAAGGTCTCGGTGCTTCCATTCAGGGTGGACTGAGTGATTTCACTGTATTTAAGCTCCTTTCCCATTCTGCTTTCCGCTTTCCCTGTGTGAAAATAGCGTGCTAAGCAGGCACCTAAAATATCCTTGCTAATTTAATCCCGGTTCTGTTATCCTTTCCCTCTAAAGCCCTGATGGTGTTCCCAGCACAATTTAAAATCTGCTCCTCCAGCAGCTTCAGATGAAGGAACGGATTTTTCTGGGAATGTGTTCGGTCTGAGATTAAAGCCCTAAACGTTAGAAATGCATCTAGAAATCAGATATTTCAAATTTTACTGCATTGCACATGTTGCAGTTAGGCTAATGACCTTTAAAGGTCCCTTTAAAACCAAACTGTTCTATGCTGAGTCCAAAATCCAGGACTTCATTTCAACACTGTTTTATCTTAGCTAAAATAAGTGTTAATGTTGCTGGAAATCAGTGCAATTGATCTCTGTAGATTTAATACAATACTTGCTGAGTATGGCTTTGAAACATTATTTTAGATGAACTACGTTTTTTTGTGTGGGAGAGCTAAAAGCAATAGAATATTATCCCTACTTATATGAAATATCGAACTGGTTAATATATTTACTGATTCCATTGTGCAATCCTTACAATTATTCTTTCCTGCAAATACATGTTAATTCTTATTGAAGCAAATAAAGGAATTTTTGAGTGCTCTCAAAGTCACTCCAGTGGCTTTGCACAAATGACTATTGTGGCGCTTCCCCGAAGATTTTGGGGCCAGCCAGGGAGCAAATCTGATGGGATTTTGTGGATGTGGTGAATTGTGTACTCTCCATCTCACTTCAAAGTTGATCAGATGGGGATTCACGGTTCTGCAGCTGCAGTGAATGTCAGTGCTAGAGCTTGTGCCGTGTTCCATGTGAGCCCAGCGAAGGCCCAGGTCCTGTTAAATGCTCTTTCCATCCTCACTTGCACTCCCCATCTCTCCAGCAGGGTGTTGCTGGGATCTGCCTGTGTAAATGGTTTGTGTCTCCAGTCACAGTTTGAAGCAGGAAAGAGCAAGCTCTGGAGTTCAAATTTTAAATAGTGCAAAATGTAATAAGAGTCAATCTCAGGATTTGCTTGACAGCTGCCAGCCAACACTGAGGAGCTGTGTGCAGTCACTGATTTGTTGTGGCTGTCTCCAAGAGTGAATAATTAGTAGTTTGAGAATAAAAGACACATTCTCTGGCTCAGGTATGGGTGACGTAGGCAGTGTATTTACTGTAGGTAGAGAGGAGTGTTCCCAGTGGGGAAGGGGATTAATGTCACTTGTGGTTGTCTGTGAATGAGGAGGGAGGGAGGAACAGGAGGTTGACACAGTCACAGCTGAAGAAAGGCTGGTTTGAACGTGGGAAGAACATTGCCCTTGCCTGTCAGAGCTGTCCATCCATTTTTTAAAATTTACAGGATGTGCTTGTTTTACTGCCAGGCTGGGCTTACGTTCCAATGAACTATTTGCAACATTGGAAACAGGCAAGATAGAAAGTAGTCTTTTGTATTGTAAACCAGCACGTAGATATTTATATTATATATAAATACACACACACAAGGAATTTTTGTTTTGGCAGAGCTTTTGCCAGTCTCGAAAGCTGCAGTTAGACTGAAACCTCCAAAACCTAGTGGAGATTGGAGAACAGCAGGTGTTTAGTGAATGGGCATTTGGGAGGGGCCTTGGGAACCCTTCAGCACGCTGCTACACATTTGTGGTGAGCTGACACAGTGAGGTGAATTGCCTGCTGTGCTGCCAGGATTTTGGGAAAGCTGAGGGGAGAGTGTGGTGTGCAGTAGCTTCTCTCTGTTCCACAGTGTTAAATGAAATATAGAAGGAAGGCGGGTTTTGTTGTTTAGAATTGAGACCTTTTATTTAGCATAACTGGCCACTGTGCTGGGAGATAGTCCCCAGGCCTGACTTCAGAGTGGTCAATGCTTGTAAATGCTTTCAGCATTCTCCATGTGATGGCCTGCACACACAGGTGTTGGGTTGTTCCTTGAAAGTGCTGCAGGTGAGAGTAAGAGAAATTCATAAGGCAGATGATGCCTCAAATTGGCACTGTCTGCACAGACTACTAAATAAAAGATGGTTAAAATAGTTCTCTTTAATCTTGGCAGCTGCTTCTTTTATGATTAATTAATTAGAACAGCAGCTTCCTAGGGAGACTCCTCCGTGGATTCCCCTGTACTCCCTTGATACTCTCTAGTGCAATTATGTTGGCTGTGGATAAAGACATTTGTTGTTGGCTGCTCTGGGGACTGGGTATCAGAGAAGCAGCAATACCTTGGAGGTGTCTCCCCCACAGCCTGGGGATCTTTGATTGCCAGAGCAGATGAAACAGTTACAGCCTCTGCAGGTTGCACTGACTCCTTGCAAGGTGCTGTTTCCTCAGCAGGCAGGCAGTGATGCTCAGGCTATCACAGGTTTAGCTGAGCTCACTGGGACACCTCTAATAATGTCAAACCTCTTTTTTTCCCTCTTGTTGCCAAATCACTGCCAAGCAAAAAACTGATTGACCAGAACCTGATTTATTTTCTCAATGGCCTTGTACCTTTTTAAATCCTCTACTGCACTTATGCAGAATGGGGAGCGATTTTTCTGCACCAGAAATTTAGCTTTTATGCCAGGCTAGAGTAGGATTTTTGCGAGAACTGGAGTAAGTCCTGCTCATCAGGTGACTTGGGATCATGAGTTATGGGCACCTTGCAAGTCAGATGAGAAACCTTGTGAGGGCTGTGCTAACGGAGCAGGCAAGAGTGGATTGGTCAACCAGTAGGTTTGGTCTATTGGGGAGTGTTTTTAAGGTCTAATTTTTTATTTGATCTTGGAAGTCTGAAAATCAGAGCGTAAAGCCCTATGTTTAATAACTGGTTACATGGTGAAAGGATATGAACCAAGGCTGCCCTTGCATTTGGGAGGGATTTTAGTACCTGCCGAGTTGCCTTGGGAAGGTCCTGACTCCAGCTGTACTTTGGTCTCTTATTTAATGTTTTTAATATTTGTTGCTCGTTCTGTGTACCCTGAGTGACTTATGGTCCATTTTGAATGTTCCTGAAGGCTCTGTATCTTTTATTTCGTTTTATGACGTGCCTGATCACCAAGGTTGTGCAAGCTCTGTAGTCCTTCTGGCTTTCTGGAGACCAGCAGTTCTGGCAATAGCTGATAATGCTACAGAACGTTTTGACGACACCCAGCAGCTGGTTCGAATGTCTCACGGTGTCCCTGGTGGTCCTTTTGTCTTTGCAGATGATTCTGCAGACGTTGGGGAGGAGGACAGCTTCTTGGGTCAGACTTCTGCCAGCCCCAACCCCCCACAGACTTTCAACTATTTCTCCCAGGTGCCCAGTAGCGGCGATCCCTTCGGAAGCATTGGGCAGCCACCCCTGACAACTGCTGCGAGTCCCGTGGGAGCACCGGCCTTCTCCAGGCCCCCAACCTCCCTACCACTCGTGTCTGGGGCACAGGATGGGCACAATGCCTTTCCACCTCAGATTCCCAGTTCCCAGCCCTGCAGTGCCCCACCCGCTCCCCAGGTGGGCATCCCGCCGTACCAGAGCCCTCAGCAGAGCTGTCCCCCGCCCACCAGTGCGTCAGGACTCGCCCCGGGAACACCTCAGCAAGGATACAACCCCTACAGACACACCACCCTGAGCAGCAGAGCCAACCCCTACCTCACCCCACCCCAGCTGCAGCACAGCCACGGCCCTGCCCACACCCCATCCGCTGTGCCACCCGTGCAGATGTACCAGGCACCTCCAGGGCCTCTCACACAGGTAAGGCTGTCACTCCTCATGTCCTGGTGCAGAGCAAAACCACTGAAGGTCATGTGTGTTCATCATTCCTGTCACGTACAATTGTCAGCAAATTCTTTGAAACACACTGGTTGGGGATTTTGTGTGGTAATAAAGCATTAATCTCCATACTTTTTTACCTGCACAAAAACACTAATAAAATAACACAAAGGGGTTAGTAATAACCTGACATGTTGGCCTTGAAAATGGCAAAAGATGGTTCTTATTTTGCCTGAGCTATTGCTGTATTTCCCTTATCGTGAATAGAGAATGTAAATAGTACATAATGACAAAACAATGCAAAGGCAGTAGAACCTAAACAATCTGGAGTATTGGACTATAAAATTTCACAACTTCTGTTTGCTTGATTTATATATAGTACAGTATTTTTGTGGGGTTTTTTTCTTTCTTTACATGTATCATCAACCAAAGCAGTTGCTACTGGTGGCGTCATTTGCTTGTAGTTGTACTAGCTGGATTTTTGTACAGTTTGCACAAAATCAGCTTTATGGAGGCCCTTTCAAAATCAGTTACTTTTACTTGGCTGCATCTGAGTTAGAAATCTGCCTGTTCTGATCACTTTGCAGGGTGAGAGCTATTACTGAAGTGCACACTGTCAAAAGTTTTGTGGCTGTAAGAAATAAGCTCAGCCTGAGTTTTGAAAATTGCAGCTGTGTGAGGCCGATACCCAGTTCTGATTGCCCACATTTCTCAGTTCCCACAGTCCCAGCTCCAGGCTGCCAGGCCTGCAGGTCCCCTGGTCCCAGCCCCTCCGGTGCTGCTGCACAACCAGTACGAGCCAGTCCAGCCCCACTGGTTCTACTGTAAAGAGGTGGAGGACAAGCAGATCTGGATGCCCTTCAGCCTCCTGGACTCGGCTAAACTGGAGGAAGTTTACAATTCTGGTAAGTGCTGTCTCATCCAGAGGGGAGCAGAAGGACTGGAAGGAGAATGGCACTGCTGTATGAGGGAGGGGTATGGCAGTAATAGGGAAGGTTCAGCCAGGCAGAAAGGGATCTGGGGGTGCTGATCGACAGGAGGTTGAACATGAGCCAGCAGTGTGCCCAGGGGTCCAGGAAGGCCAATGGATCCTGGCCTGGATCAGGAACAGTGTGGTCAGAAGGAGCAGGGCAGTGATCCTTCCCCTGTACTCTGCGTTGGTGAGGCCACACCTTGAGTATTGTGTTCAGCTCTGGGCCCCTCAGTTCAGGAAGGACATGGAGGGGCTGGAGCGGGTCCAGAGAAGAGCAACGAGGCTGGGGAAGGGACTGGAGCACAAGTCCTGTGAGGAGAGGCTGAGGGAGCTGGGGTTGTTTAGTCTGGAGAAGAGGAGGCTCAGGGGTGACCTCATCACTCTCTACATCTACCTCAGAAGAGGTTGTGGCCTGGTGGGGTTCGGTCTCTTCTCCCAGGCAATCAGCAATAGGACAAGAGGGTATGGGCTTGAGCTCTGCCAGGGGAGGTTTAGGTTGAAAATTAGAAAGAAGTTCTTTGCAGAGAGAGGGATCAGGCATTGGAATGACCTGCCCAGAGAGGTGGTGGATTCACCGTCCCTGGAGGTTTTTAAGATGAGGCTGGATGTGGCACTGAGTGCCATGATCTGGTAATCATAGTGGGGCTGGATCAAGGGTTGGACTGGATGATTTCGGAGGTCTCTTCCAACCCAGTTAATTCTAGGATAATTCTATGATATCTTGAAGACGGATTTTGTGCCACTTAATTTATTTCACTTCCGTTATCTGTCGCTTGATGCTGTCGGTGTTGAGATGTACCAGAATTTTTGGATGTCGGTCTGATATTGTCCCAGACACGAGTGGGGTGGGAGAGGAGGAAGCAGGCTGTGCGTGTCAGTGTGGTGACGGTGTGACGTGTGTGCCACAGTGCAGCCGGACCCCGAGAGCGTGGTGCTGAGCACGGACGGCGGGCGCTACGATGTGTTCCTGTACGAGCGGCTGCGCAGAGCCGTGTACTGGGACGAGCAGCCCTCCGAGGTGAGGCGCTGCCTCTGGTTCTACAAGGGCGACAAGGACAGCCGCTTCGTGCCCTACACCGAGGATTTCAGTGACAAGCTGGAGGTTGGTGTTGCCTTTAAACCTCAGGAACGCTTCTTGGTGTTTCACTGAAATGGCTGCCACGGTGCAGTTTGTGGAACATAAGCAAGCAAATCCTGCAGAGGCCACATTGCTCGTGGGTCAGTCCTGCACTGCTGTGACCTAAAATCAGCTTGGGCAGCTCTTCATGTGGCACTGTTATATAAACAAAGTTATGTAAATTGTAACTGTAGCATTACAGATGATGCACGAGGCCAAAAAATTGCTATGAAGACATCCTGATTTTGTGTAACTTATTTACTGTTTCAGGCAGAATATAAAAGGGCAGTGACTACAAATCAATGGCACCGGCGACTTGAGTTCCCAAATGGGGAGACAATTGTCATGCATAATCCCAAGGTAACACATTTTGGCACTTTTATCTCTCAGGAGTCATTAGGGGTGAATGAGCAAATGGATGGAAGCATCAATTGAGTGCCTCCTTATTTTGGTTGATACTTATTGGCTGTTTTGGATTATGTGTGCCTTGAAGATACAAAGTTTACAGCCCACTCAGCTTGTCCTTGGTTCAGTGTGCTGCCTCCTGGTTAGCTGACAAAGATTGCTGAGACTTAAAAACAACGAGGGTTTGCTTGGTAAATGTTTGGACTAAGCACAATCAGCAGCAAATGGTAGGCCCTTTGAATTAGTTTAACCTCACACAGTCTGTAGCTAATGAAAGGTAATTTGAGCTGAGAGCTTTCATGTAATTAAAACTTGGACTACAGCCTTATTGACCGATGCTGTTACCTGTTCACTTATCACAGGCGTAGGAATTAATAAATAGAACAATCCAAGGGCCAGAGGGGATCATGGATGCTCCTACCTGAAGCATTTAATAATGCTGGTTAAGGAATTTTGTCCAGTAAAAACAGAGAAGAAGCATTTAAACCAGTTGGTGTCATAAATATGAGTTCAGACCACAAGTGTAAAGCCTATAAGCAGCTGCACTACCGAATTCCTCACTTCCTAGTGAGGAGTTTCTGGACTACTTCAAATGCTGTTGTCATTCCCTGAGAAGCACTTCTTTTTTTCTGTTTCCTCCTTGTGATGCAGCTATTGTAAATCAGGCAGTGTTCAGTTTCTTCACATAAGGGAGAGTGGATACTGGGGCTGGGAGAGAGGAGCTCCAATAATGCTTGTCTGAGGAGCTAAAATTGTTCAGCAGGCCCAGCTTCTCCAATCAGGGTCTTCTTTTGTCTGAGTGATCTGGTTGCTTTTCGCACTAAAGAGGGTTGTCTGTGGTTTTGGAGTCTGGTTTTAGTGGGGAATGGTCTTAGGGTCTTCAAGGGCTTTTTTGGGGTTTTTTGCATTTATGCTGGCTGAAGAAAAGAGCTGAGTTTCAGATGCAAGGTCAAGCAATGCAAAAATGTTTTTTGTGTCTGTAATTGGTAAATTATAACCAATGTATTTGCTGCAGGTCATAGTTCAGTTCCAACCTGCTGCCACACCAGATGAATGGGGCACCTCTCAGGATGGCCAGGCAAGACCAAGGCTGGTGAAACGAGGCATTGAGGATGACCATGATGAGATCCCTGATGGTGGGTGATCCCTGTGGGTGCATCTGCACTCTGAGCTCTTGGGTTGGGCCTGTGCACAAGGTGGACAGTGTGGCAATGCCCTGTTCATGCCTACAGCCTAAAGATCGAAGTTATTCCTTAAGCTAAGCTGCTTGAAAGAGGTTACCATCTGGTTTGGGGTTTTTTTAATAAAAAATGTCCTGTGGGCTGTGTGATGTTCTGATCATGTTATAGTAGGGCTTTATGGAGTTGCTTGGCTCCAACCTTCACTCCTGCAGTACAGATTGACACTCTGAACGTTTCATTTTCCTTTTGTTTTTACAGGAGAAGTGTCCCAAATTGACCATCTGGTATTTATGGTTCATGGCATAGGTCCTGTGTGTGACTTGAGGTTTAGAAGCATTGTTGAATGTGGTAAGTTTTGGCTTCATAGTGAGTAGTTGTATTCTTATCTGGTTAAATGTGGTTCTCTCTAGCTCATATTCGGATGAGCAAGTAGTTTGTGGTTTGGTTTGTTTGTTTTTGTTTGTTTGTTTGTTTTAAGTCCCTGATGTTAAGAAGCTCAACTTCTGGTAGAATTTTGTTATGATCATTTCCCAAAAGCAGAATCTGTGTTTTGTCAGACTTGCAGCTTTACCTGTCAATACTAAGTCCTCAATATCAGACTTGCAGAGGGATTTGGGTTTTGGGATCTGTGGAGTGGAGTTTGGTTTTTTTTTGTTTGTTTGAGGTCTTTTGCGCTTTCTTTTCATGGTGTGACTGAATGTGTTTGCTGTGTGTGTGGTTTGTGTGTGTGGAGTGGTTTTCTGTTTGCCTTTTTTTTTTTTTTAAATACATTCTAGTACAACCGAGTAAATTAAAAAAGCCCTTTCTGGTCGTGGAGTGAAAATCTCATTGTGCTTGCTAGAAAAATCCATTTTAACAAAAATGTGTATTTTCTTAGAGTGGTAATACTTGAAAAGACTTTTCCAGTTGGCAGTTTCTGTCATTTGTTTTCTGACTGGGTGTGAAATTAAGGTGAAGAGGAACTATCTGTTATTTGAGCACTGCTGCTGTCAGACTCTCACTATTCTTTCTCTTTGCAGTTGATGATTTTCGGACTGTTTCTCTGAAGCTGCTGCAGACTCACTTTAAGAAAGGCTTAGAGGAGGGTAAAGTGAGCAGGGTGGAATTCCTTCCAGTTCACTGGCACAGTTCCCTACACGGAGATGCAACAGGTGTGGACAGGTGAGAATGTTGCCTGATGTTGAAAACTTCATATGAGCTGTCATTTAAGGGGGTTTGGAAAGTGGAGGAAAAGAGCAGTTCATGTGCTCTGTTAGGCTGGATGAGTAAATGTGTGACTGGGCTACAAAAGAGAATTGCTGATTGTATTTAATTAGCATTTTTATTAGGCATATTGGGAAAGCTGGCAAGGCATGAGGAATATTTTCTCTTGTTTATTTTCACACACGCTTTTCAGGGAAGTGGCCAGTGCATGACACATAATGATGAGTGTGGAGAGGTGGTGATGGTAAGAACGAGGTGGTGAACATGGAGATGTTGTGTCCAGTAACAGGCTGTACAATTTAGATTGGAGAGTGGTTTGTTCTTTCCCTTCCTGCAGTCCGAGTTTGACCCTAGGAGGTGTCAGGATCCTTTTCCTGAGGAAAGCATCAAGCCCTCTGTCCAGTCCTGGAGGAGCTGCAGTCTCCATTCTCCAGGAATTCCATGGCAGCTGTCTTAGCTCCAGCAGGCAGATGTTATGAGTGTTATATGTTAAGTCCTTACCTGCGCTCCTTTAAAGGCATTCAGCGCTTGTAAATGGGTTTGTGTTGCCAGGAACATCAAGAAGATCACCCTGCCGAGCATCGGGCGCCTGCGGCACTTCACCAACGAGACGCTGCTCGACATCCTGTTCTACAACAGCCCCACCTACTGCCAGACCATCGTGGACAAAGTGGGGCTGGAGATGAACCGGCTCTACGCGCTCTTCATGAGCCGCAACCCCGACTTCAAGGGAGGAGTCTCTGTGGCCGGGCACAGCTTAGGTGATGGCTTTAGGAGTGTTTGGGAGCAAAGCAGCGTTCCTGCAGCGGGGAAAGGGAACCTTCCTGAAGCACAGGGCTCAAATCAGCTGTCAGTCAGAGCACAGCTGACTAACAAACACCTCCCAGGAGCTGAGCTCACCAAGCTCTGAGAGAAAATTAGCACTTGGTGCATGGGTACATTCTCCCCCTCTTTCGTTTCCTTCTTCAAGACTTAGTGTCTGATTTGCATTTCAGAGCTGTCAGCTTATCTGGTGCTTTGTTAGGTGGGTGATTTCTGTGTCTCTTAGTTAAATTACACTAGTTTTTTGGAAGATAGAATAAGTGTTGTAATGACATAATGACGTGCTGGTTTGGGCTGGAACTTTCCCTCCAGCTTGGCAAGCAATCTCAGGTGTTTAAGGAAAGATAATTTAATCATGGTAACTACACAAAGGTGGGATGGAAAAGGGCTTGCTTTCAGCTGAGAGTGATTATGTTCAGATTAATAGGTGGGTATTTTATTTTAACTCAGCTGTGTTTTTTGATCAATCTCTATGATGTTATTCCATATAAATCTTCCTTGAGATTTAAGGACAGGAATACCTGGCATTTTTCCCAAGTCAACTTTAATTCCTGTTTCCAGGTTCCTTAATTCTATTTGACATATTGTCTAACCAGAAGGACTTGGCTTCATCAGTGAATTCTGGGCCTTTCTCTGCTGTTAATGGGACTGTAAAGGATGTGGCTGTTCATGATAAACAGGTAAATTACTGCTAGTCTTTCCAACCCAATAGAGCTGATATTGTCAGCAATTTTTTTCTTAACTTTTCAGAATTTATAACTGAAAAATAGTTGTGGGCTCTGATAGTACATTTTAACACGCCCATGGAATTGCAGTTTTGTAAATACTGTCAAAAATCTGTTTGCATCTTGCTCAAGTTCCAAGTAGGCTGGTATTGATCATGAACATCAGCTTTGACCCTTGTGAACTTGTAACTTGGTCCTAACTGTATCTGAATGGTTGGGGAGGTGTGTGAGAGGGAAAGAACCTGCCTGTGCTCAGGGTAGAAATGCTGACCAGTTGTCTGATGAATAAAAGTATTTTTAAGTGGTCAGAAAGCTCAACAAAACTTTGGTCTCTCAGTAATTTTGAAGTATTTATTTTGCTGGTCTCTTATTAGAGGAAAATTCGTATCCCTCCTGACTAAAAATGGATGTTTATTTACAAAGTTTGCCTGGTAATGTTTTTTAAGAGGAAGCAATTCAGCTTGGTTTGGCTTGCTGCATATTTATTTTTCACTAGCAGAGGCTGTGACTCTGTCTCTGTGCTGTCTTGCTAAGGTGACTGAAGACACCAGTTCCTTGGGCTCCTCGATTGCCACATCTGCTGATGACCTGTGTGAGGCTGAGGTGGATGAGGACGTTCCCACTCTGCAGAAGGCTCTGGAAACGCTGGGTTTGTCGGAGTACGTGAGCACCTTGGAGAAGGAGCGGATCGACATGGAGTCCCTGGTACAGTGACTGCTCACCTGCCCTCTGGGGACTGGGGTTGTGTTGGGGCTTTGTTGGTGTTCTTTTGTTCTGGTTTTCCTTTCACTTTAGTGCAAAGGTAAGATAGTCATGCACAACTTGAAGATGAAATGTTAGGTGACTCCTGTCCTTTTTTTCTTGGTGTGGTGCATCCCCCCCAGTTTTGATAAAACACTTTGTTTCGTGTCTTCTTAATGTTTTATGTCTTTATAAAATGACTTAGCAAATTCTGAAGTCATTGGCAGTAAGGAATTACATGTGTTACTAGAGAAGTTATTAAATGTGCTTTGATGTGTGTGCTTGGTGTTTTTGTTCCTTTAGCTCATGTGTACAGTTGATGACCTGAAGGAAATGGGGATACCTCTTGGACCAAGAAAGAAAATTGCTAATTTTGTGAAAGACAGAGCAGCCAAGCAGGTAAATACATTTTTCAGGAATGAAATAAAGCATTATCAGGCAAATGTAAGCGACTTCCTTGCTGTGGAGTAGCTTCTATTCGTGAACACTCTTCTTAACATCCTGGGTATAATAAAGAGATTTTGACAGCTGTGAAATAAACTTTTGTTTTGCCCTAACTTTGAAACTTTTTCTCAAAAGGAACAGAAGAAAACAATAGCAGAAAAGAAAGCAGTGCTGGCTGCCACACTCCAAACTCAGGAAGACACCCAGAAATCAAAAGAATCAGTCACTTCTGTGTCCTCTCCAGAGTCTGCTCAGCTGCACTCAAAGAGGAGACTTCCAGTTGGTGCCTCTGTGTCTTCTGTGAACATTGACTACGAGTATTTTGAAGTTGGGACTGGCCAGGTGAGACTGCAGACATTTAAATGACTTGGGCAGTCATGGCCTTTGTTTGGTTTTCTGTTTGTGAGTTTTTTTTTTTTTTTTTTAAATATTTATGACTTTGGTCTATGTCCCTTGGTTGTTATACAGAAATGTTTAGGTAGAACTTGGCCCTTTGGTGGGAGGGAGGGCTGGGACAGTGGCTTAGATTGGTGAAAAGCAAAACTTGTTATAGCAAGGCTGTCACTGCAGTTGATTTTTAATTGCAGCAGGGAGTGAGCTGTAAACACAGTTGTGTTCCAGAAGCAGAACTGTGTCAATGAGATAAGATTGAATGACATCACATTAAATGCTTCTGTGGCTTTACAGTTAACATGGTCACCTAGACTGATCCATTTATGCTGACATATTTAAGGGTTACCTCAAACTGAAGTTAAAAACTTCCTGGTTTCTGTTACGCAGCTGGCAGCGCTGAGGGACTCTGTGTCTGATTTTTCTCTGCTAGGTTTCTGTGGTTTACAGTGCCCTGGACTTTGAACCAGATATTTTCTTTGCTCTGGGTTCTCCTATTGGTGTGTTCCTCACTGTGAGGGGTGTGGAGAAGATTGATGAAAACTACAGGCTTCCCACCTGCAAGGGATTCTTCAATATCTATCACCCAGTGAGTAAGCAGAGCTTTTGAGATCTGATTTTAGTTGATGTAGAATATGAAGTTTTACCTTCTGGGCATGACACCTCTTGTTCCCTTCCATACAGTTCCCAAAACACAACCCCCCTGACCCATCTGAAATATGTATTCCACACATTTGTAATCTCCCCTGCACCAGTGAAGTAGATCTGGCTGTAGGTTCCATACTCAGCATTCCAGGGGGATGGTTTGAAAATGTTGGCCTTGTTTCTTTTCAGAGCTAAGGAACATTTTTTTTCCCATTAATTTCAAGCCACTCTTGTAGATTTTTATGGAGTGTTTGTGTTTTTACATTCAGTGCATTTGTCCTGTGTCATCTTTTTTGACAGTTCCACAGTGACATGTTGATAGAGATCATCAGAGTGCAAGCAAATCTTGCTATTATTCATATTTCCTCATTAGAGTCTGTCTGTAGAACAAAATTGAAGTAGTTAATGAATCTGCCTAATCTTATGGTTAAACTAAACTGTCATGAACTAAGTTTCTGTAAATTCAAATAGTACAGACTTAAAAAATGGTTTTCTATTAATCAGAGATTTTTTTTTCACTGAAATGTGGTAATTAGAATAATTTCTAAGATAACTAAATCTCAATGTGTTGTTTCTCAACAGCTTGATCCAGTGGCTTACAGGTTAGAACCGATGATCATTGAAGACATGGATTTGAAACCAGTTCTCATTCCACATCATAAAGGCAGAAAAAGACTTCATCTGGGTAAAAAGAAAACTTTTTTCATATGGATCTCATTTTTCTCATTTACTCATTTGATGCATTAGAGTATTATAACATTTTAAGAGACCAATGAGTGTTCCTGGATGTCTGACACCCTGTTTGTCCCAAGCATCAGGGGTGATTCCACCCAGCCCCATAAGTTGGGCATTCACAATTTCATTCAGAAGTAATAATCATAATTCCTCCAGACCTGAGCTTCTCATGACCAAAGTTCCACCTAAAACTTGCTGCACGATGCTTGTTCCCCTTCGTTTCTGAGATGATGTAAAACAGGAACTGGAGTTTGAAACGAGTCTCTCTTATCTGTTCCCTGAGTGTAGGGTGTGAGGAGTGAGTGTGGGGGGTGGTCCAGCTGTCCATGAGATTTACTGGACCCCTCTGGATTTGGAGGCTGTTGGACTGTTTCCTGTGCTAGTGGGTTTGAAATCATTGACCCACTCAGTGAGAAATCAGCTGTGTATTAATTGCATTTCCCTTTTTTTGGATGGAATAGAGAAGCAAGAAACACACACTGATGACACAGCAGGCCTGTTTCTCCTGGTAACTGAGATGTTGGAGCCAGGTTTCATTACTCTAGTTTTAAGTTGTAATTTTAAATCCTTTTCTAGTGAGCTTTTTTTTTGTCGTTTTTTTCTTTCTCAGAGCTGAAGGACTCTCTGTCTCGCATGGGCTCTGATCTGAAGCAGGGCTTTATCAGCTCCCTGAAGAGTGCCTGGCAGACCCTCAATGAATTTGCTCGTGCCCACACATCTTCAACTCAGCTGCAAGCAGAACTGGAGAAGGTAGCCAACCAAATTAAAGAGGAAGAAGAAAAGCAAGTGGTAGAAGGTATGTGGACACATGATTGTTTTACCTCTGACTTATCCATCTCAAATGAATTGCAACTGGAGTCTCCCAGTGACTGTTGGCTGTTGATTTTCCTGGCCCTGCTAAGGAGGCCTGTCTGCTAAGCACCAGCTTCCCCCAGGGCTGCTCTGTCCTTCCCCTCCTCAGCTGGAAGGGCAGAGAAAATGCAATGAGGGGTTTGAGGGTTGAGATCAGAAGGAGAGATCACCCAGCTGTCATCATGGGCAAAGCACACTCCACTGGGGGACACTGCTTTGATTTGCACACTCTTTCAATTCTCTGTTAGAAGGACAGGTTTCTCAGTCAGGTGTGTTTTATTTCAGGGCAAATGAGTGTGAATAAATCTTTTGGTGATTTATTCTCGAGTAGGTTTGTGCTGAGTATTTTGGGAGCAGCTTAGAAGCACTCAGGTGTGTTCTCTAACAGAAAGAAGTGCTGTTGAGGAAAACAAGTTTAACTCAGGTGTAAATACTAACCCTTAGTGATAGCAAGGGCAGGATTGCCAGTTGTGAATTACCTGTCTGTGTTTAGTAATGCTGGCTTGGTCTATTCTTAGAAAAACAAATCATTCCTCTTAGTGTGAATTGAGGATAGTGATGGACACTGTGCAGGAGAGATGTAAAAATACATTATGTCAGGTTATTCACTCACAGAATGACTTGCTCTGTGTTTATATAAAACAGGAGGGGTTTGGAAAATTACTCAGCTATTGTTTTGCATGGGCCCTTTTTCAAACAAACTGCTATGAAAGGAATAAGCCTGGAATTCCAGTGACTTTCTGAATTGTGCAGTTCTGGCCAGTTCTGAAAAACTTTAGCAGGGAGAATGGGGGATATTTCTTGATTATAATCAAGAAATGTGCTTGAAAATAGTTTGAACTCTGTCACTGTAGCTGAGAAGATCACTGAGAGCCCCGAGCCTGCGAAGGACGAGGATTCCTCGGTGAGGGTTGGAATGCTCAACGGAGGACGGCGGATCGATTATGTGCTGCAAGAGAAGCCAATAGAGAGCTTCAATGAGTACCTCTTTGCTCTGCAGAGCCATCTGTGCTACTGGTAAGAGTTGTGATCCTGTAAATATTGCCCAAGGTGAACAGTGTGTGTGAATGTCCAGGCATGGCAGGCTCAGCTGATTCCAAACTCTGTGTCAGGGCAGGCTGAACCCATTTGTTCGTGTTTGTAGTCAAGGCATTGCCTGCTGCTCCCTTGACCTTTGGCACTCAAAACACACATTTTTAGCTACAATCATTTTCAGAACAAGGAGAGCTCTGGAAGCATTTTGGCAACTGTAGTTTTTCAACTAAAACTCTTCATGGAGGAATTGGATTAGATTGCAATATATAGTAAAACTTAATTCCCTCTTCATGTTGGAATAACGTTGCTGGATTCTCTGCTATCAAATATTAAGAAAAAAAAGAGGAAGAAAAAGGCACATGCTATAAATTTGGATGGTTATGATTTCCCACTTGAATTGCAGTGGTTGCTTGTACACAGAAAGAACAATTTACAGAGCAAGAAGCAAGAGTTTTGTGTCATCATGTAATCAGAGCTGTACTGCAAAACTGCTTACCTGGATTTGGATTTGATTTTTTTAAGGTGCTTAAATATCTCAAACAGAGGAAGATACCGTTCCACTTATACAAACAGTAGTAACTGTTGACCTGTTGGTGTTGGGAAGGGAGGAGTGACTGCTCTCTTGTTCTGAGTTCAGCAGGTGCTGCACAAACAGCGCTCTCTGCTCTTTCTGAAGGGTTGATTTCAAGAGCTGATGAATTTAGAAGCAGGTTTATTCCCCAGAGGTTCAGCTGTGGCACTGGAAGCGTCAGGAGCTGCCTGGGGAGGCTGCTGGTAGCACTGAGCTCGGTCAGGGTGACCTGCGGGTGGCACTGTCGCTCCACAGGCTGGGTTAAAGGACAGGCAGTTCTGTTCCACAGGGTGGCAGCCGCTCACTGGCAGCTTCCTAAAAACTTGCTGCACTTGGCTGGTTTTTGTCACTCAATTAGGGAAGATAAGCACGGGGGATAATGACCCAAAGAGAGCTCTTTGCTGGGGACTGGTGAGGAAGCCTGAAATGAAATACTGTGTTAGAGAGCAGAGCTGTGTTGATCCTCAGCTTGTTTGGTTGCTGCTTATGAAACCACCAACAGTTGTGGTGTGTCTGTGCTCGATCGTGGAAAATACCTGTAGTCTATTCATGTTAAATTTAAGATAGCCTGAAGTTTTGATTTTTGAAAATAGGAGGGAAAACAGCCACTTGGAAACGTGGCACTTGAATGATATTAAACTTTAAATAACTGAGGCAGAATTGTCCCCTGAAGGAGGGGTCAGGCTATGGCAGGAGGCTGTGCAGAGTTTTTGGAGAGCTGAGATGGCATGAAATGGCTTCAAGAATTACAAGATGGGCCATACTGAGCTACCTTTTCTCCTTTTTATTTTTTTTTTTTTTTTCATTCTAGGGGTTCTGAAGACACTGCCTTGCTGTTCCTCAAAGAGATCTACAGGACCATGAACATCAATCCTGAGCAGCCACAGCACTGATGTCCAGAACAGGAATGTGTAAGTTTGCTCCAGTATAATTTACCTACTCATACCAAATTCAGCTGCAGCAGAGATGTCTTTACTTCCCCTTTTCCCTCTGAAGTTTAAATGACAAGGCAGGCAGCCAGAAAATGTCATTTGGATTGCAAAAGCAATTTCTGGACTTGAATGCAGGGAGTCTCTTCCAGTTCTTTCCCTCTTTGTTCCCAAAAGATACTTGATGTTAGTAGTTTTGGTATGGGATAATAATCATCAGTACAAATATTTCTCTTCATCATCCTTCTCCCTCAGTTCATTTTTTCAGTGAATGTTCAACAACAGGAGAACTTGGAGAAGTTGGATCTGTTGAAACTTCATTTACAGTGCAGTGGATTAAATAAAGAACACCAACAGTGTTTCCACTTCCTTCATGTCCATATTGCTGACCAGTGGGACACGAGTGTGCCAGCAAAAAAGCTACTTGTCTCCCAGGAAAGTGTTAAACACTGATATTATAATTTACTGAGACCTTTCTATAGCTCAGGATTTTGTTATCTTTGTAGAGCTCAAGCATTTCAGTAGCACAAGTGCAAGGACGTAGCATAGAAGTTGGTTCACCTGGAAAAGAAATTAAATACACAGTATGATTGAGTATCTCAGACTGAAATATTCCTGCAGGTATTTTTATCTGAAGATGTGTGTTTCCTAACTGAGGATCTGTGCTGTACCAGTTTACATCACTAGATGTTGTAGAAAAGGAGGCAATAACTTGCACCTTGCCTCTCTGAAATCATACAAAAACAGAGTTTCTGATGTATTTCTCCATTTCCAGAAGAACTGATAATGCCAGGAGACATAAATACCCAACATGAAGAGAAATACTTGACATTTCAGAGGAATATTTTAGGCATCTTTCGCTGCTGCCGTGCAGTTTTAGTAGTTCTTTTGTAACAGAATGGCTCTGATGGTCAGTTGCTAACACCTTTTCTAAAATGAAATGTCAGGGCTGATCCAATGCGTTATGTCAAAGCACAGACAGTGGGAGGGCAGCAGGGCCCACTGGAGGCACTGAGTGGCAGGAATTGTCTTGGGAATGCTGCACATGAGACCAGCATCTTTTCCACATGAGGAGTGTCTTTCCATGCACTGTGTAAAACATTATCACATAAATCTGAAGTACCAAAGAGGAAGATTCTCCCCCAGTGTTAGCAGTCAGGTGGGCATTGGGTTTTTTTCTTTCCCTCCTGTTCTTTTAAGACTTTCAAATGTGAAGGTGATGGATTATCCAGCAGTGCCTGTGACAGCAACATCCATTTACCCACGGGGGAGCAGATCATCTGAAGAAACAGCCTCTCTATTTGCGGGCTGCAAATGCCCCTTCCCTGCCTTCATGTGCAGAGCTGCCTCTTGCTGCCCAGCTTCATTTCCTGGCTGTTTAACTTCCATGTGTAAACTGTCTCATCACGTGTTTATCTCTGGTTAGAGTAGGCTCTTTTATTACCCTGAGTTAAAGAATCCAATAGCCAATTAAAATGCACAGTGAATGATATCCCATTAGCAGCTGTTGGGAGCTTTTTCTGGTTGTGATTGTAATTGCCCATTTGTGTCCACAGGAAGTATATTTCAGAGGCTTATTGTGTTAAAAATCTGATTAAAAACATGTAGGGGTTTTTAGATCCTTTTGAATTCTCTTGAAGTGGAATGTTGGCTTATTTAATTTTATTAGTGCTGCTGCAGGAATGGAAAACTTACTATATTTCCTATTTCCAATATGTCCATCTCGTGTTTTCTCTGCACAGCCACACCTGTTGCTCCCACAGACCTGGTGAAAAACTCTTAGGAAAGCGTCTGCTATTTTCATACCTTCACATGACAGGACAAAACATCAGACTTCTTTTTTCCTGCCAGTGCAGAACTTGCTCACGTTCTACCTTCTTGTGTCCCTCCAAGCAAACTTCAATTCCGAGGTACTCAGCGCTGTCACTGGGGAGATGGATGGAATGGCACAGTTGGGCTCCTAAATCACCGGAATTGGACACTTTGCCAAGGGAAGAAGTTTATTTTGGCATGCAAATCATTCCTTGTCCTTCAGCTCTCGTGTCTCAGCTGGCTGTCACACATGCCAAGGCAGCATGTCCTCATCAAACAGGACCTGGGGACAAACAGCAATAATCTGCTTTTCTTGACACGTTGGCTCGTCCACCTCTAAAAAATCAAATGGGAACTGTAGTTATGACCATCTTTAATCCAGATTACACAAGCCAGTTCATTTTTACTAACAATTAGCAACCCAGAGTCATTTTCTTACTATTGTAAGCGTGCTGGAGATTATTTTATAAAGACCTTTTTAAGCCTCTGTTAAGAGTTTTATTGTTGCTTTTTTTTAAATGTAAGTAAAAATGAACTTTTGACTTTGAAAAAATGTTAGAAGTTTGTTACAACTAGTTCAGCCGTCACATATCCTGAAATGAAGAACAATTTAAAATAACATTTTGATCTGGTAATTACAGAATTAGAGACTGTTCTGAGTTAATTAAGGCAAGGGAGACCTGGAACATTTACCTTGACCTTGCAGTTGGACATCTCAAAACAGATCATGTAAATAGGATCCTGAAGCTCTTGGCTGCTGGATAATAATCCAGATCCTGACCTGCAACCCAAGCTCCAATTTCTTTTTTTTTGTACCAAAGTTGAAATGAGTTGGGTGGTGTGAAACCCTTGGAATTCGTGTCTCTGGATCCCTTCCCTCTGGCTCCAAATTCCATACACAGTGTGGCTTCTCTCCATCTGAGTGATTTAACCTTCCTACTGTTATTGCAGTCGATGAATTCTGAAATGCAGTATGTTTATTATTTTTTCCTCGATTTGTGTAAAATACACATTATTATGTACATAATTGGATTGCTCTAATTAAAAGTACCTTACTGCCAGTGGACTTTACAACAAGGTTTTGTATTTCTTCTCAGAAACCAGGTTGGAATAGACCTCTGGAGAGGCTGCTTAGTCCAACCTGCCTGCTCAGGGGCTGCTTCAAGGCTGGAGATCCTTTGCTTCTCTGGGCCCTATTTCAGAGTTTGCTTTGATTGCAGATGTTTTTCTAATACACAGCTGAGATTTCCCAGGTGCAGACTGTACCTGTTGCCTCTTGTACTTTGTGCATCTTCCAGAGTCAGGTCTCTGCCTTCCCTTGGGCTCTCACTTTCCGTAGTTGAGGACAACACGCGGTGTTCCTGTTTGGCTTCCCAAGCCCAGCCACTTTCCATGTGCTGTGACCCCTCCATGGTCATCTTGGGCTCGCTTCAGTTTTCCCAAGCTCATCTTGTGCTGGGAAGGAAATGTGCCAAAGGGAGCTTTTGATCCAAAATATCCAATATAGGTGTAAAATCAACCTCTGAAGGTAAAGTTTTTTTAAGCTTTACAATGTGTTTTGTTACTTGGAATACAATATATATAAAAAAACCCAACAAAACCCCACAACCACTGGCCTTATTTTCATCTGAAGTACCACAGAGTGGGAGGTTATACAGCTGTATTTATCAACTGTGTGCAACACTGAGTCATCTGAGTCTGCCTAACCAGCATTTTTGGAGCAGCTGCTGGGCTGGGAAGGACTCCCTGGGGGGGCACAGCAGCACCAAGGAGCACTAACACCGTGTTGGTCCTTAGGGCTCCCTGCCTGGCAAAGAGCTCCCTTTGGAAACATTAAAAAAAAATAAAAATAAATTAAAAAAAAGATCATCCAGAAGAGGTTTTTTTAAAAATCAGAAGATCTTCTCTGTCACCCACCCTTAGTGTCTTTTGGCACTGCTCTCAGGTAAGCAGCTCTGTAACATTGTGTTCGTTTTAGTTTGTATCTGTTACAGTGCAAATTCACTGGGGGATGGAAGTGCTCAGACTGTTTGCTCTTCCATGAGCTCTTTATGCTCAGAGCATTCCAAGAGAGAACAACAGGAACCAAAGGTTGCTGGGGCAGTCCCCAAAGCCCCAGGAGAACTGAAGGGCACCAAGGACAGTGTACAGGGTAAATTGGAAATGAGAAAACAACCCAGGAAAATGAAAAAGGAATCACTGTCCAGTGAAAGGTCACACCTCTCTGGATGCTCCTTTCACGTGCTAATTCACACTCTGATCCAGCCCAGTTTTGCATTGAGGCCTCATGTGGAAAACTAACTTCCAGGTGGAAATTCTTATGAAATAATCAGAGCATCCCTAAGAAATCCAGCACCTTCCCAAAAGATTCCCATTTGGATGAAATGAAATCTTTCATGGAAGACTTTTTTTCTTTTGGAAAACTTTCTATCCCCTGCTCCTCTCCTGCCCTTCCAGGAGCCACTGCTTCCATCAGCAGGAATGTTTCCATCCCCTGGGAACAAACCTCTGTTCATAAAAGTAGCACACTCAAATAATTTCCCCCTGTGCTGGGAGATGCCTGGCATAACCCAGAAAATTCCCAATAACTGTGCCAGAGTTGTCCTGCTCCTTTCCCAAAGAATGTTATATTAATATTTATAACTTTGGTCTGCAACAGGACAGATGTGTTACAAACTCTGTCTAAAATGCTATTACCATAATAATATTCTCCCTGATTTCTTTCTCTAGGTGATGTTTGTTTTTTTTTCTTGTGATGAATAATGAGATCTGGGATTTCATTTTTCCTAAAGAATGCCAGTGGGCTGGATGTTCATATATAAGAGGAGAGCAGCCCTTTGCAGAGCTGCATTTCTCTGACCAAGCTGAGTATTACTGGACTATTATTTTTAATCGTGCCTTTGAATTAGGATGTCTTGGAATAAGAAGAATTCTTGTCTAAAAATAAGAAATATCATTTCACAGCTGAGCTGTTGGGAGGGTGCAAGGACTTCACGTGGTGCAGTTCTCTGGAAGGTGAAATGCAGTTCTCCAATGTGCACCAGGAATGGTGCTTTCAGCTCAGTGGCTCTTAAAATATAGCGCTCTCCAGGCTTCCTTTAGGTGTGGAGGCTGCAAAAGGAACACCTTTTATACACCAATAAAACAGCTTCAGCTCTGTATAAATGCAGGCAGTCAAAAGTGAAGTGTGTCTATTTAAGAGATAATAATAGAGGACAAAGGCCTGAGGGGAGAGGAAACCAAGCAGTTGACCTTGTATCTCCCCTCTGCCAAAAAAAAGTGTTCCTGTTGAAATGGCCTCATGAATACCCCTGAAGGAATATTTATGCTCCAGACTGCTCTGAGTGCACCAACAGGGAAAGAGTTTACTCACAAACTAGGAGTAGCTTGCTTGAGTGTAGTCTGAAGCCAAGTTTTCCTAAGCCAAGGCTTGTTCTGGGTGTTGTGAATCCTTTTCCTCTGTTTGTAGCTGAGAGGAGTCAGGGTGCTCTCCGCAGAGATATGATTGTCCTTTCCCCAGTTTTTCTGTCTGCACCGAGGACTGAGAAAATCCAGCTGAATGTCTAAATAATGAGCTCCAGCAGCCTCCAGGGAGGGTCTAAAGTGGTGTGGGAGGGAGCAGTGGAAGGGCTGGGAGGGACAGACAGCTCAGATTGCTGCCAATACAAAGGAGCCACCGCAGGGAAGGGGAGCGCAGCTCAGTCGTGACAAATCCTTTCTCTCTGTTTTTTTATCCCTCAGCTCCTCAGTGGAGAAAATACTGACAGTGCTGCTTGAGTGCAAAACAGGAGCTGGATCTGGAGAGGAGAGACAAATCGCCCCCAAAGCTCTTTCAGGAAGGTGGCAGCATTTCTGCAAAAGGTCTTGGCTAAATGATGTGTTAGGAGACCGTTTTTTTTTTCCAGGGATGAGCTCTGTTAGTAAATAAGATTGGGTCTGCTTTTCAGGCCATCCTTTGCACAAATCTATGTGGGTTTAAGCACTGGGAACTCCTTTGCTAATGGGGTCATGTTAGGGGTTTATTGACTGAGATGTGGTGACACCTCATTTTGAGTGATCTCTCAGGAGATGACACACTTGGAAAACAGTGGTGTCTGACAATAATATGAAAAGAGCTATTAACAAAAACTACAATCTGAACTGAGTGACCCTAGGACTAATAGATATAAATACGTACATATTCCATGTGTATGCAAGGAGGCACCTGTTGGACAGGTCCTGGATTTGAGGGTGGAAGAGGCGTCTCTCCTGAAACATGAATGCTTGATTTGCAAAGAGGCCAGTCACCTCTCTGGCCTGGAAGCCAGGTAAGCTTTGGAGCAGGAATAAATAAACTGGCTTTGGCTCTCAAGTCCTCCTGAGCTCAACCATCTGTGCACAACTGCTCTGTGCACCCAGGGGGTTGATCACTCATAAGCTGGAAGATGCAGTAATGAAGTGCCAAACACATGTGGGCTGCTCCTTCAGCCTCTTGTCCTTCATTTTGATGATAGATCCCAAGTCTAACCTTTCCTCCAGGAGAAATTACACAAGTTGTAAACTCTGTAAGAAACTCTGTAAGATACACTGAACTGAAATACTCTGAGTTATTTAACATGTCCATAAAGTATTTTTGATACGACCTTGAGGTGGTGCCTTCCTTTTAAATGGCACCAAGTTCAAGATTCCAGCTGCAGCAGACACTGCAGGGTCCAAGATAGGGGAGAAATGCATCTGTGCCGTGTTCAAAAGGCTGCTTTAACTGGAACTGAACTTACTGATTGATTCTCCCAGCGCTCAGACGGTGTTTTGACATATTTTAAGTAGTAACATCACCCTTACCAGCCTCTGTCCTTGGTCTGGGAGATCACCTGGTGAGCTGGGCTGGGGTTAAAAGCAGTGCAGAAGAAACAAGGAGCTTTTTAATCTGGTTCAGTTCCTGGTTCTGCTGAGCCCACCAGGACACAGCCTGGGCCAGCAGCACTCCTGGAAGGAAATGCTTGCCAGGCTGATCCTTGGGAGCTTTGTCTGGCAACAACTGCCAGGCCCAAATCCCTGGGTGAAGTTGCCCACAAATATCCCTTTTATCCTTCTGTATTTATCAAAACAAGCCCTGTTTGTTAGTGTACGCCTGACCCTGGAAAAACATGGGAAAGGCACTGGCAGCCTGGGAATGGCACTTGAAACCATCACTAAACAC